CAACCTGAGTGAAGGTTATGATTGGAAAAACAGTTGTTCGAACGTTATATTGGGAAATAATCAGACGTGCATCAGTTTACATTGGAGAAAGAAATATAACAAATATTTTAGTACATTCTGCTGGTAGTTTTTGCAAGTGTTTGATAGCGCTATAGGAAAAAGGGGCCCCTTATTTTTTACAGGCTGTTAATGAATCAGTAAGCATTTTAAACTTTCACATCAACACTGTAAGTCGTTGTGTACGACTAGGGTGCTTTCGCCCCCACTCCTATTGAGGGACTGATTACTATCTTCTGTACAAGTTTACTGCTTAAATTGTCTAAAATTTTGATTGTTTAACCCACTGGATGGCGAAACGTCTAAAATAAAGATCCCCAGATGTTGCACATGTTCTTAATCTCATGAAAAGTCATACTTGTTTTTTAATCCCAACTCATTTCACGTAGTTAACATCTACTGAAACTGTGTGAGTTGATGGTAGAGTGGTATCCCCCATTCTATGAATTTTTTTAAATTTCACGAATAACACTCACACACACACACAAGTATTAAAAATGCCCAACGGGTTAGCCGTTTCCCTTTTATTACCTCACCCCCCCCCCCATCAGCTTTTTTTCCATTTTTCCAACCTTACTCATCCTTTTTCCCTTTCCCATCTTATCAAAAATCTTTCATCCCGGACATTCGACTGCTGCCGCAAAAATGTTTTGGAGCCAGAGTACTTTTAAAATGTTGCAATACCCTGGTCTTGTGAAAAAAGTTGCATTTTTGTAATGGTTCCAAATGGGTATGCTGCCATTTCATCAAAAAACAAAATAAGTCAAAACTCAAATTTGATTTACAGAATCACTCTGGTTCAAGCTGTTTTAAATGACTTCAAAAATTAATAATGCTCACTAAAACACATCCAAATTATTTTTTTCCCCAAGAACGAAGCTGCTTTGTGAAAAATTTAATATAAAAAAAACCGAAAATAAAAAAAAAAGTCCCCTTTCCCAAAAACTTATAAAAAAAAAAAAAAGAAAAAAAGAATTTGCAATTGTGTTTTTTTCCCTGCCCCCCCAAAATTTAAAAAATTCCATAACGTATTTTTATAATTTGGTATATTGCAATCAAAAAATTGAAACAGTGAAAGGCTGGACTCCAAAACAAGTTGCGCGGACGCAATGGTGCAGGGGACATTCTGGGGCATGTTCACTGTCACCTTTCACAATATTGTCCAATTAAGATTTAGGGTTAAAACGGAGAACAAAAACCCCGGGATAACCGCTGAGATTTTAAAGATAAAAAAAAGAAAAAGTTTTTTTTCTTTGTAAAAGTTACAATGTGAAATTTCATTTTTTTTTTTTGAAAGTAAAAAAAAACCCCACTATCACCCCGGGGAATTTTCGGCAAAAATTTCGGGGTCAGTGCTAAAAATATTTAAGGCAAACGGGATATTGCGACATTAAAAAGGGTTTAAACTTTTCTTGCGACAAGAAGGGGGGAAGGTGGCCCAGAAAAAGAAGACATGTATAGCCTAAAAAATCTGCGACAGCTTTGGAAGGGGCTTTTATCGTTACCATGAAGAGAGGTTTTTCCCAAAGTTAACTGTATGCTCAAAACATTTGAAGCCCTTGAGACCTTTCCTTGTGGAAGGGGGGGGTGTCAATGTGTAGGTTAAAATCACGAATTTTTGAAGCGGGAAACAATTTAACAATCGTGTGATAGGTAAGGGCACTAGAAAATATTGTCAACCTCCTAGCTGGGTTTCTGTAAATTTTTAAAATGATAAACTTAAAGATGAATAACTTCACCAATGTCTTAAACATGATTTATGAAAAGTTTTGAATTATGATTTATCACGATAAATTTGCAGTTATCTTTACTGTTTACATCAGCTAGGTTTTATTGTTAACACTGTAATTATTTATCCGTGGAAATTTTCATGAAAGTTCCTTTCTGCGCTAAAATTTTTATTTTTTAAAAAAAAAAATTTTAGCTTTGTGTTTTTTTGTTAAGTTTTTCCCCCAATTTTTCTTATATATTTTTTCACTACAGATCGCATGCGGGGAAAAAATTTTTTTCCCGCGATCCTTTCTCACCCAAAGCCCTGATCCCCCACCTCCAGTTTTTCAGAGACACCAGGTCCCCCAAGGGTTTTCCGGAGGTTTTACTTCTCTGGACTGTGAGATGTGCTTTTAATGTGAGCTGTTCTGTCTTTAAACCCCAGGCAGAACACCCCCAACCTCCCAACACCTGCAACGACAAGAAAAAATCAAAGCAGCAACCCCTTTGGGAACCGGTTTTGCTAGACCCGGGCCCCTGGGGGAAGGGGTAAAGGGGGAAGGGGAAAGGATGTCGATCCTTTTTTCTTCGCTATTTTTCATCTTTAAACAGTAATTGGGGTACTTGAAATTACTGATTTTTTGGGGTCTAATTTACGGGGGCGAAGAGAAATATACTTATAAGAGCGGGACTTTGAGATTAGCTAAGCGAATAATGGCTCCTCGGCCTTAATTCAATAGTTTTACAAGAATCACCCTATCCCCCCTAATTTTCACAATGTGATGATCTGTCTTTACCCCATATTTTAGTTCTAAAAAATTTAGGAAACTGATTAGAAAATTTCAGAAAGGGGAAAAAATCGAAGAGTTTAAATATTGTCAGGAATTAGGAAACCATAGTTGGCAGAAAATATTTAAAAAAAAAATGTTTTTTATTTCTGGGGTCGGAGAGTTGATTTCGCTTTTTCCCCGGTTGGTTTTAAAAAAGGTGTAACAGGCAGCGAAGGGGTTCATTTCTTTGGGTACCTGCCAAGACAGAGTTTTTTCAATGCTTGTATATAAAAAACGCAAGTGTGGTTTATGGCATTTTATTTAAAGAAAACTTTTCATCTATTGGGACTTTGGTCTTTTTCCCCAGAGAATAACAGGACATAGGAATGTAGAGGCTGGGGGGAGGGTCTTAGGGTGAAAAAATGGAAATTAGTAAAAGGGGCCTCCTGTTAATTTCAACGCGTAGTTTTGTTTCACTGGAAAAAATATACACAAACCTTGAATAGAGTAACATCAACGGGGGCTTATAAATTCAATGTCTATTTTTGTTTTTTTACCATATCAAAATTCATATAGAAGTAAGGGAGATTCAAATTAAAAAAAGAAGAGGCTGATCGTTTAAAAAATAGAGTTTATTTTATGAAGTATCAAAAAGAAAGGGTTATCTTTTGAATTTCTGATAGAGGGTCCTTGGAGGTGGTTGAGTATCGCGCCCCCCGTTGTAAAGAGACAGAACTGAGGTTCACTCCCATGTACTCCTGTCAACAAACCCTTTTTGTGCAGCAGCCATGGGTCAAACTAACATCACAGAACTACCAGCAGCATCAGCCCAGACTTTCTGAAAGCAATATTAATTTTACAACATACCCGGAACGGGTGAGTTTAAAAACCATGGCAAAGGGGCCCAATACCCCGGTTTTTTTTACAATTGTTATTATGATTTTGTGAGATATTTAAAATTATACTATTAGTTCCATTTTTGGAAAAATTTTTTTTAATTGAGCAATAAACACCAAAACAAATTTATGTAAATTTTTAAACTTTTAGTACATCGTCAGTACATAAATATACAAATATCTTTCGGAAAAAAATGAAGGAATTAAGGACAAGTAGAAAATATCATGAGATGCACATAAGTAAATGTTTAGGCCCCGGGTCCTAAACTTCGAGTACGAGGACCCTTTTTTTACCCCAAAAAAGTATCAGATAACAATATGCTAATATTTGTTCTTTTAGGCTTGTTAAGTGAAAAGATGTGAGGAGTAAAACATGGGGAGGTGCTGCCCCGGGGGCTTTTCAAGGGGTTGGGATTACTATTCAAGTAAAACTTCAAAAGGTCTGAAGTTCTTTAAAAATTTAAATTTTTTTGCTTTTTTTTTAGTGAAGGTTTTGGAAAATATAAATAACATAGTCACCAATAATAGTTGAATATCAAAGAATTTATGACCTACCCGTAAAAGGACTTATTTTCGAGAGGTATTTAGCAAGGGGAAGGATTAGAGACACTAAACAGACTATTCAGCTTATGCATGGTTTTCATGACCTTCATTTGTTTCGTGGCCAACGGTCCCAAAATCGATCTCGTTCGTTAAACATCCCCAGAAATCCATTTTATTTGCCATCTATTTTTAGCCCCCGTTACGTCAGGGGCCTCGAGAAAACCCATACGATGGTCAAAATAGGTGAATGTGTAAAACTCCAGAGTGAAGGGGTACAGTGCAACAAATGAAAAGTTATTGTGATGATTCATCAAAGAAAATCTGGTACCAAAAATGTGGCGGTTGTTGTAATATTTTCCAAGTTTGATTGTTTATTTTAAAAAGTCAAAAAGCAGCCGGGAAATGTAAGACCAAAGCGGGTTATGGTGTATTTTATTTGTAAAAATGTTCCTGCACCGGGATTTTTGCCCCAAAGAAACCTGATGATTCCATTTCGATTTGTAAATTTCACTAAAAAAATTAAATAAATAAAAAAACAATTGTGTATGTATAAATTTTTATATTTTATATATATTTATATATTATATATATATATATATTTATTATTTAAATATATATTTATATATATATATTTAATATATAATTTTTATATCCCCTGGGGATGGGAAGCAATTTTGCCCCCCCTTTGGCACACATCTTTGAAAAATTGATTACTGTGGTTTGGTAGCGGGGATCAGTGAAAGGCTTAGGAGGCTTCTTATTTTATTTGGGTTGTGGTACATAGGCAGGTTTTAGGTGCCCTGGGGGGGCACAGGGGCCTTGCCAGCAGGGAGAGAGGGGGTGGAGTGTTTAATCAGGATGCCTTGTCGCCCAAATGAGAGGAGGTAGGTTGGGGAGGTCTAATGGGCCCCCCCGTTGGTGGAAAAATTTTGGAAAATAGCCATGTAGGCTTATTGTTACATTTTGCTCGGGCCACACCCCTGGTCATCCCGACCGATTGACTGAGAAAAAAAACCCTTGTCTC